GGTGTGACTATATGGATGTTACATCTCAATATTCGATCATGTGTCCGTGCATCACATTAAGAGCGGAGCTCATGCCAAGGCATAGAAAAATCGACGTATAAACTTTTATCTCAATACAAGACACACCACATGACATAATATATAATCTCCCAACTCGAATCCTTTATTAGCAAAGCCAGTATGACCGATACAATAAAAATACAGGATAATCTATACAATATCTCTATACTTACCTAATAATTATAGGGTGGAGATGAAACAGTAGGACTTGGGTTAACATTTCGGGGTGGATGAGTATTAGCTTGTTCTAATGCCTGCACTAATAAGCTTTTGTTAACGATCATTATATTTCTTAAGGTTAATAATAAACGAACTAGAGATTTAGTGTGCAACGTAAGCTCAGTTCTCAATAAAGAAATATATTTGTGACACCAAAATCCCACAACATAAAAGTAGAGATCAGACCTCGGAGATCATGTGAAAGTCACGAGACTGCAAATAAGTGTGCCACCTTTATTTTATTATTATGTATGATTCCGAAGCTAATTAAGCAAAGATCTGATCTGAGGCGAGTCCGGAATCTCGCGCATATATCGGTTTTGCAATGGAGTCGTTGACAATTCCTCCGGTCGTTTTTTGAAATTTTCGACAAGTCCGGAGACGCGTTTCTGTAATACAGCAGAAATATTTTTAATCATGAACCCCAAAGTTAAAAAAGATACAGCATACATAGAAATACCTCTAAATCCACGAAATGCATGAACGATGATTCGATCAGTGGCATACTGGGTTGGTCTATGACAAGTCTTGATGTCATATGTGGCCATGATCGGTACATACCATCATGCTTGAGATCCATAATGTAGGTTTGAACGACATCGCCTATAATTTATATAGGAACCTTTAGTAAACAAAGATTATCCTATCCAACCAAAAAAAAACTTGAAGGGACATACCAAAGTTTGTAAGCCAAGCGCTTTCTCCCGGTCCGCCTCTCGACGTGAGTTGCTGATTAATGGACTTTCTCGCGCGCAAGTTAACCTTTATCGTATCTTTTATCTTCATCAGAGGTCCACAGCCAAGTGGCTTAATTTCCGAGCTAAGAAACGAAACGTTCTCTACGTGACACGAAAAATCGGGCCTCGTATTTGTGCCTCTGACGGTCTGGTTGAACTTCACTTCGTAGTCTTTTACGCCAAGGAAGAGCGGACGCGTCATATTATGAAGGTATCTAACACCGTGTTCGTCTTCAGAGGTTTTGGATGGGGCAAGCGGGGGCACAGATGCTCGCCTAGTGATAATAAATCGGAGAATGAATCATTTCTCTTCGATCTTGATTAGCATACCAGAAAAAACTTACACCTCGTTAAACGATCTACAAGCCTCTCGGCTTAGCTCAGTATCATCCGGGATCATGTAAAAATCTTCGCCCTGTAAATGTCTTATGATAGCGTTATGGAACGCTGTAGACACATTCTCGGGAACCACCGGGTTTTGCACACGGTAAGGGTTTTGTTCAGTTATCATCTGCCACTCCTTTAGCGTGAACACGCTCGGGTATGGGCAAACGTGATCAAAGATGATTATCGAAGATAGGGCCCTGATTAAAAAAACGCATATTCGCAAATATATACGAAATAGAGACTTTTCGGTCTATTGAACTTTCTTCCACTGTACTTACAAGATCTCAAATTTATTTCTCCACGTTAAACCGCTATGTTTGAGCTTATTCAAGCACTGTTCTTGGTACTGTCGAAATTTTTTGGTGACGTTTACACCATCGACTACCCACTACGTAGTAATAAGTGGGTAAGAAGTATGTTCTAGTAAAAAGGAGTCCTGCCCATTTTTGCTTAATACCTCGCCCGACACCTTTCTTCGTAACTCTTCCTCAATCGCACGGATTTCGATGCACATCGTCTCATCGCTTTCATCGTCTCCGCTAGCGTCTGCAGATCGAGAGCATTCCTTAATTCGGCCGTGAAAAAGGAATGTAAAAAAAGTTTATGTGTTAGATTATTCAACGCACTTCGAAACTGTGCTACTCGAGAGTTGTTACCGTTGGCGTAACCAGTGCCTCTTCCACAGAGATCTTCTTCCTCTTTTGCCGACCATTAGTGGGCGTTTCCATAGAGTATTGTTCGCCCGGGCGCTCGCACACTACACTATCGGTTCCATTATCGATTTCTGGCTCGTTTCTTTTCGTCCGTTTTTGCTTGCGCGTTTTCAGAGCAATTTCGCATGGAGACATTTTGCCTTCATCAAAGCTTTCTACATCGGACGCCATATCATTCTTGTGTGTTTCGTGTTAGAAAAAGTAAAATTACTACACAGAAACATAAATATAATACTGAATTTTCTTAATAACTTACATCACATCGCTCCTTGGAGTTTGTTACAAATGATTCTAGCTCGTTGGATAAGTAGTTTCTTGCAGTTTTGGAATCTTTGACCGAATCACCTATGGTTTCATTGATGTATTCTAACTATTTACAAATCAATCAGTTACTCAGTATATATACAATTTTATCTGGTTCAAGATAACTTGAGCCTCATTTCCGGCTAAAGATTGATCCAAACAAAATTGTATCTGCAAACAAATAATTAGTGTGGTATTATTCATCACAGAACAGGCGACACCAATCCGCAATAAAACATACAGACAAGCAGATCGAAGAAAATGCTCAAGAACAAACCTCAAACAAACGTAATTCTTTTTCTTTAGTTTTTATTGTTATATTTGCAAGATCGTCTTCGATTTTATCCCAAAATATTCCAACATCTTTACAATGATTGCGATGATTCTTATAAAGTTAGTGAAACGAATTAGTATACCAACTTTATGTTGATTTTTTTTTCAATCCATCTGTACAAGGCAGACCACAACGGACACGAAGACCATAAAGTAGGCAACGCGAAGATGCCCACCGTAGTTGTGTAGGTTTTACCCCTTCTCAGGACCACTGGAAGTCACCCATACTGCCTTACCAGCAGACCACAACGGACACGAAGACCATAAAGTGGACAACACGAAGATGCCCACCGTAGTTGTGTGAGTTTTACCCCTTCTCAGGACTACTGGGAGTCTTCCATACTGCTTATCATTGCCTTACTAAGAAATAAAAAAAAACTTGCCTCAAAGCTCTTTTTCAGTTTCTCGACATTCCTCTTAACATCTTCCGAACAGTCACCCTCAAGTAAATAGTCAAGACTCCTCCGAAGTCTGAGCGCCTCTTTTTGAAAAGAGAAAGTAAAGTCATCCTGTTTTTGACGATACTCATAAAAGCCCAAAAAACGATATTCTTCAGGCGAAGTTTCGTTAAAATAGGAATCCAATGTCATTATGCATATGAAAAAAATAGCTCGTATAAGAAAAATCAGAATTGTATATTAAGTAGTACAATAAAGCCCAGCCACGATTGGCGCCACATAGTCTGGTGATCTGTGGCATGATAGGACACGTGTTCGTATGTCTGTTAAATTA